TCTCCCTTAGGGGCCGCCTCTTCTGTCACCCTACTGACCTCAGGCCTGTCGACCTCTACACCAACAACTGTCACCTTTGTCCTCTTCTCAACCCCTTCTTCTTCCTTCACGTCGACCACTTAAACACATTAAAGGGTTCTCGCAATTACCCCGTTCATCTCTCACACACGACATTTATTCGATCGCACCAATTGTTCAGCCACAATCAAAATTACCTTTTGGTGCTTCCTCAGTGACCTCGGGCTGCTCCACCACCTCTAGGGCCTTCGTTGTGGCCTCCACCTCAGCTGCTGTTACGGTCGGCTTCTTCTTCTCCTCCTTCACCTCCTCCATCTCTTCGACTTCCTCTTCCGATATCGACTCTTCAAGAAAATCAACTGTGTCAGTACTGACGTGCGGCATTTCCATCCGACCACTTTCAGACACCTCGAACCACGCCATCTTACTGCACAATCAAACTCTGCATGCATCAACCCTTCGCAATCGCGGCCGTGTGCCAATTCTGTTATATTTGCAGCTTCCCGATATTATAGTTTTTTTCCAACCTATTTTTAATGTTTCATCTGTTTTTTTTTTTGCATTGTCATTGTTTTTGCACTTTTGTATATTAATCATACCTTTTTTATCGTCTTTTAGTATTTCCTCCGGTTCTATTTCTTTTGATTTTTTCTCTTCACCAGGTTTGGCTTTTACCCCTATTTGAAATGAGTATGACACGTCTTTTTCAATTAACTCCTGCTGCTTTGGCTTCGTGGATACCTCAACATTCTCTGTAAGATAAAAGCATATTTGAAATAGGCATTGTATCACAGAAATGCATGATGTGGACACTCGAACTAACCTGTTGTTATTGTACTATCTACCTCAATGACCTTATCGGGAATCCGTTCTGGGACTTCTTCAATTGCCATGGATGTGTCTCCGGAATGGAATTCTTGCTTTTCTGTTTCTACTTGGGCATACTTTGTTTTCTCTGTCTCGATCTGTTTAGTTTCTCCCAAGGCCTCAACAAGAACCTCAGTCTGGGAAACTGCCACTCCATATTGATTTACAGCTTCAATTTCGTAAATGCCGGCGTCTTCTAAAAAGGCCTCAGAGATAGTTAGCTCACAAAGGCCACGCTCTGGAACGTAGAAGATGGCTGCATCCGCAAGGACAGGCTGAAGAACAGCACCGTTGTGCTTCCAGGTTACTTCTTGTGGCTGAGGACTACCCTTAACCACAGCAGAGAGGTAGATTTCTTCGCCTTCAGTTACTTTGACGGGAGTAAGTTCAACTTCAAAGATCGGCGAACTTGCTCCAATTTGCGAATCAGTCACAAGCTCATCCACTTTATCCTCCTGTTTCTCTTTATCTTCGTGTTCTTCTTCATCTTCTTCTTCCTCAATCTCCACCTCTTGCGTCAATTCGACAACCAACGTTTTATCTATAAATGGAAAGAAATAGCAAAATAAACAAAATTTACAAAAATAAAAGTGAAAAAAAAAAATTAAAACCCACCAGTGACATCTGTTACCGTTTTGGTAACAATAGTTTTGTGTTCGGGATTTTCAGACCCCGGAACAGTGCAGACAAAATCAACAACGCAAGCGTACTCGCCGGCATCCTCAGGAGTGACATTTACAATTTTCAGTTTCGCAACTCCGCTTTCCTCAGAAAAGGCGACTTCGTGACGATCTGTTAGCATTAGTTCACGACCATTATGAAGCCATTTCACCGAAATAGGCTTCTGAAGGGCCTCGAATTCACATTCCATTCTAAAGGAGGTTTAAACATAAAACAACGAAAATGGCACAAAAGAAAGTAGATAAGAAACTCACTCAACAACACGACCTGATAAAGGTTTGTATGTATCAGCAAGA